TATTTAAAATATCTTTTTTTTAAAAAAAATAATTTTATTTTAATTTTTTTTAGTAAAGTAATACTTTATTTATTATTGAATTAAAATATAATAGAATAGTTAAAATAATATAAAAAGTTAATTTAAATTATTTTTTATTTAAAATAAAAAAATTATAAAGATTGGTTAAAATTTGAATAATTTTTATTAGAAGTAATTATTGATTTTTATATTGAAGTACAAATTTTTTTGTACTGATTTATAAATATATATTAAAATATATAAATAAATTTGCAAGCAATTCTAATTTTTATTAATCTTAAACTATAATATTTAACTAAAATTAATAAGATAAAATTATTAATTTTTATAAAAATAATTCATTAATATCAAATATTTAATTTTTTAAGCTTTTAAAATTGTAAATTTTTTTTATTTATTAAATTCATTTTTCTTTTGATATTAATAATAGTATTTCTGCTTTAAATCTTATATATATATTAATATTATTCTATATAATTATAATATAAAAAAGCAGTAAAATCTTTTTTAATAAAATAAATAAAATTTATAAAAATCAAAAATTGTAAAAGTTTTATTAAACTGAATTAAAATTTAATAATTATAAAAGATTTTTTATTATTAACAATTCATAAACAATTCAGTCTTATTTAATAAATTATTTTCTTGAAAATATATCTGGAAAACTTCTTTATATTTTATAAATATTATTATAATAAAAATATTTTATATAATTATTGATTATTTTTTATTAATAAATAAAAATCTATTAGTAAAATTTTAAGTAATTTTATTTAAATTAATTATTTTATTGAGTAAGAATTAGAATAGAATATTTTTATTCATTAAAGTTTTGTTAAATAATAATAAGTTTTATATTCAAAATTTTAGTAAATATAAAATTTATTTTTTAACTTGTATTTTAAATAAAAATTTTATTATTAAATAATAATTAAACAAATTTTAAATATTTTTTTATTAATATATAATAAATATAGAATCTTAAATATATTTTATTTATATTATTTATATATTTGTTTATTAATTTAGAAATATAAAGAAATATCTTAAGAATTTATATAATAGTATAATAATAAAAAAAAGATAAGAAAGATATTATAATAAATTAATAAATAATGAATAAATACAATAAATATAAAATAATATAAGAAATAATAGGAGAAAAGTATAAAATAAAAAAATAAGAAATAAATATTGAAATAAAATAGATATAAATATTATTTATGATTTATAATAATACTAGAACAAAATACAAAAATAATGATATTAGTAAAAACAAAGATTACATCTTAATTATTATAAAAGTATAACTTATAAATTGAATTATAAGTTTGTATATATAGAAAATTATCAAATTATAATTAATTACCATATAATTTTTAAATGAGAAACTAACTTTCGTTGAATCATTTTTTATTATTATTGCAATAAAATTAATTCTTCAATTCCAGTAATTATATTAGATTATAATGTTTTATATGTTAAATTTTAAAATAATATAATTAAAGTAAATGATTCATTTGTGATTTATAAAAGATCCAGATATTTTACAAGTACCCTTATAATCAATTATAAAACAAATATAATCATTAGCAAAAATTAAAGATGAATTATAGCTCATAGTAAGGAAAATATATCCATCACATTCTTGTAAAATTTGAATCAATTAATCTATTACTTTTACAATTTTATGAATTTTATAACGCAACTCAATTCAATTATCTATATTAATAAAATGAGTTTTAAATATCATAAAAGGTTCAATATATATTAATGCAAAAATTCAATGAAGTTTATTTATATCAATCTTAAAATTATCTTAATTCGAGTTAAAATAAATGATAATCTCTTAATAATTATAATTGCCGAAATCCTCTTTTCTCCCCTTGTTACTGGCTAATACTTTTATAACTGCTATATTTTTGCCTTACTTTGAAAAACTAATGATATATTTTGTAAAGACAAGTGCAAATTATTAATTTAAATCTTTTTATGAGCACAGATTCGATATTGATTAAAATAAGTAGAATATCTTTCTGCCTCAATAGATACTGTTTCTATAAGAGCGTCAAAATGCTCGGGCATTACATTCATCGAGTTCGCTAAAAAACCTTTAGAAGACTTGAGACCACCAATATAAAATTTTAGAGTCTTTGAATGAAGTAAATAGAGGAGGGTATTTATGTTAGAGAAAGCGCATATTATTATATTTTTGTAAATAAAGTCGTTAGGCACATATTTACCTCTTCTGCAGATTTACCATGTTTTTTACCAAAATCTACAATTTTAAGTTGATCTCTGATTTCAAGAAACGCATTTGTATTTTTAAAAATGCGCGGAATTTCTTTTCCAATTATAGGGTTCAATCCCTTCGATATCATAAAATCATGGACTAAAAATACAAATTAAATAAAGCTCATTATTTAATTAATGATATAAAATATTGCTTTACTTACTAGCTTTTGCAACTCTCATTGTAACGCTTCCATCAGATGTAAAAATATCAGCTTCTATTACCTCGATCCATCCATCTGGTCGAGCTAACCTTATCATTTCTGGAATAACTTTCTCTTCCCATTGTGTTTCTGTAAAAGCGGTAGTCATGAATTTTTCGTGAACAAAATCGAAGGACGAATCTTCAAATGGTAATCCATCTAACATATTATGTTGAAAAAACCTCACATTACTGGGAAGATTTTCTGTTGGAAGTATTGGAGATATGTCTATTCCTACGAACATTGAATTAGGATATTGTTGTGCCATATCCTGTTTTTTATAAATTAATATGCTGATTTAAAATGGTCAGGGTTGGCATTTAAATTTTTGGACACTTGAATTAAATTTGACCTAAGCCCAAATTCAAATGTTCAAAAAAATATCATTGGCAAAATTAGTCCAAGTATAATGTTATATATTTTGGACATATTTTTTGGATGTTAGGACATTTAGATAACTTTAGGACTGAATCCAAGATATTTGCTTGGACTGATCCAGATGCCAACCCTGAATTAAAATAGTTTTTTTTACCATATCTAATGATATAATAAAATCTACTTACTAAAATCCAAATTCCAGATCCGCATCTTTTTTATTAATAATTATAAAATTAAAGTGATACATGTAGTAACATATTTAAAATTCAATATTTATAAGTCAATACATACCCAATATCAATAACATGAGCTCCTTTTCTCAATTTCTCTTCAACCGGTGAATTAAACAGCCCTCTCCAAATATCTTTCATTGCTAAAATTTATATACTGTTATATAACTTTTTTAAAGTTATAAGGTATTCTAATATGAAGCACGAATTAAAAGCAATTTTTACCATCGTGATATCTATTTAAACGATAGGCTTCTTCATCATCATTTGCCATAAAATACATTGAATCCGAAAGATTATGGTATCGTCTACCATGGATAAGACGGTATTTAATAGCGCCATCTTCCTCTTCAAAATAGCGTCTAGAGCAACAACATCCCATTTTTACAAGATATAAGTTTTTCAGAGATTGGATCTTGAATACACATGTATAAGTATCTGTAGTCGCACGATAACGATAAGCGAATTACGGGGTGATTCCTCGATACGATACATGCAAAGTATATGTACATATTTATTTGCCCGATGCATGTATCGTTATTCTTACCTGTATATAGAAAAGACATGTACACATGTACATGTAATTTGAAGTGCCACACCACATGTACATATACAATTTCATTTATTGATTTATATTTTCGGAAATTAGCACCACCTAGTTATATCGATATACATCTATTATTGATGTTTGTCATTCAAATTTAAATATGGGTATCTTTAATTAATGAAATTTAATTCCAAATATTTTGTTACATGTATTCGATAATTATAATTACATGGTGGCAAGTATTAATTATTGCGAAGGATATTATTACGAGGTATGGGACATTAATTATCGCGAAGTCTATTATGGCTATTGCGTTGGGTCCCAATTGTTAAGATATTCTCGAAGCGTAATAATTGCATGTACATGTATTTTGTTAATGTTAATCATTGTACGTTAATTTTTGCAACGAATGTTGACCATTTCGAATAACAGTAACAATCTATATGTTTGGAAAAAATTAAGGAATTACGGGATTTATTGTAACTATGGTAATAGTAGAATGAATTCTGCGAGACCAAACAAAATTATTTTAACGATGGTACAATCTCATCATTTATAAAATAGTGTCTATTAGCATTATTTTTTCAATTTAAAGACACTCATACCGCGTTTTTTCTTCAAATACGAGAATAAAGACGGTTTTTATTATATATTTTTTGCTTGATATACAGAATATCTTCTTCCACTTGATCTAAAATTCTAGATACAATTTAGAATGGTTTAAGACCTAAGCTCATATTAGAAAGAACGGAAACAGATCCTTCTAGAACCATTTTGAACATTTGACTTAAAAATATGGATTTATTTTTTCAATAAAATTAGAGTCTGAACCGAACTGAGTTAAAGCGGCTGACGGAATGATAATACACCGAAATTAATGTGATTTGTAAGATGCGTAAACAGAATGTAACGTTGTATATATACTCACGGAACTTCGAATGGATTGTATTTCATACATGATGCTTCAGAAGATAATCAAGGCACCATCAAACAAAGTCCAGAGAAATATTCCCTGTGCGGCATTTTTATCTTTATTCATTACATTCCTACAATTCTAGCATTTGTACGCCCCTGACCCGCCAATTTTCTGAATATTTTTGGATAATGACTTGAACTTACAATTCTTCAGTCTTAGCGATAAAACGTAATGAAAAGGATACTGTATTGTGGTAAGGGCAACATTTTTCCCGCTTTCTTTATCTAAGTTTCTTGTCTTATGATTCACTATATCAGATATTTAAAGGGAGAAATGACAATAGCATCGAATGAAAAATCTGATCAACTTTCAATGAATATCATATCCGGGTGACTGCCTTATCAGGTCTCTTGATCTTTTTAACGGTATACATGTACTTGGAGATAAAATCATCCATATAGTTACAGAGCTAAATAATATATTCAATATCATGCTCATCTATCTTGTCTACTTCTTTTGTGGAAGAATATCATGTGAATGATATCCGAACGCAAGATCAATCAAGATTGCATGGATAGAGTTATTCGCATTAATTTCATGACTTTGTCTTTACATTTCATAAACTCGTGCAAACGTCCACTCATCAGTTGATTACAGTAGATGAGTTTACTATCAGATTTGACTTTATATGAAAAGAGTACTAGAAAAGTTCTGCAACGCGAATGTTGAGTATATTATAAAACAATTTTTTGGTTGGAATGAGAGAAAATGTGGCGAGTCTCTTTATTACTGTATATTTTCTTAATAATTTGGTTTTAAACAACCAGAGCTTGATCAATAGATTCGTCAATAAGGTTGATGGGAAATGAGTTCAAGCAAAGCTCATAAGAGAGCATGTCAAGAGGAACAATAGCTTGAATAGACTTATGCCTACTCCATATTGTTGATTTACAGATTATTTCCTTGTTCATTAATGCCAATACCAGCTCTCACATTCATAAAACTTGAACTATCATTAATAAGTTAAGCTTTTAACCATGCCTGCTGTGTTGGATCACTATGGTAATCCAGCGACAGCTTCAGTATTATAAGCATATCTTGATATTCCCATCTATCGCTGTTTCTAGAGATAATTTGAATATACTTTAATGACTAGTGTGCTATTCTCTTACGTTTGTCTTGACAATATATTTTTGACCTATCTGGGAACTCTCATTAGCAGATAAAGATGATCAAACTTCTGTTATATTTTCGAAGATAATCATAAGCTTTTTTAACAAATAAAATAAATTTTCTTAGACTTTCTCTTGAATAATTTCTTTCTTTGTCTTTGTAATAATTTAGGTACTTTAGTAGGGTTCAAGTTTTTCTATTAAAGAATTTTTTTTCTTGTGATTTAGGAAAAACAACTGGGTGTTATGTTGGGGAGAAAATACATGACAATAGTGTAATTTCTGATGGTAACCACTATCTTCGAGACCTTTTTGCAGTTTATTCATTTCGTTAATGCCTGTGTTGTTTGTATCTTCTATCCTTTAATGCGATTCAGTATCATCTTTTCTAGGCTAAAATCCTAATCCTTTCATGATAATTATCCAGTAATTTCAGGTAAAAAATGGATTCTATCGTGTCATTATATTTATTAGGAAATACGACATTCAAACGAAATCCCAAATGCATGGAATGACGATATTGAGATTTTGTGCATTTGGGATATCTTTCGTTCGGGATTTCGTTTGGATGTTGAACGTTACCGATTTATTACAAGTTGAAATCATCAACTGTTGTTTTGAAATTTGAATATTGTTGTCTGTCTTTATATAATTTTCGAGCAAGGATTACGATTAAACCAAATAGAATTTACCTATTTACTAAGAGACAAAATTTGTTCTGCAATAAATGTTGATATTAAAGAGATTGATATAGTAAGGGACTGTACTTGAGAAAAAATTATAAAATAAGATTAATATTATCTATTTTACTTAATAAAACTTTTAATATCAGAACTTAATATGATATATGCTGAAATTTAATATACATAATACTTTTAAAGATTAAAAAATAAATATTTTTTGTATAAAAAATTTATATTTTAAACAAATAATCTTTTGAAAAATAATTATCAAATTTATAATTTTTTGAATATATTATAAATAAATTTATTTTAGATTTGAAATAATTTCTTATGACTACTGAATAAGACTTAAAAATATGTCTCGGGTCTTCTTTATAGAAAATAAAGTAATAGAAATGTTAGACAATAAATTGATTTTAATTTATCAAATATTTAAAGTTCTTCTTGACTCTTGTCTTGTCTTTCAATATCTTTGAATAATATAAATTTATTGAAAAGGGAGGAAAATATTCTATACTTTCTTGAGATCATTATTATTATTTATCATTACAAGCAGCTAATGTTCCATGTGAACAAGTTTTTTAATCAGAAAAGATACAATTAATATTTGCACAATCAAAATTTTTGTAGAAACAGCCTATTATTTTTGCTTGAAAACTTTGAGAAGATGAAATTCTTGGTTTGTGAAAAGAAATAACATAGCATCTTATTTTCGAAAATATAATGTATTTCCATCTCTTAAGCTTCTTATCATATCCTGCAATACTAAGCAGACAAACTGGTACTATTATGTTATTCACCTATTATGTAGTTATGTTGATTTATCTAATTCAATTAGTTATTTTCAAAATATCAATCAACTTATAATTAAATTTGCCTTCATTAAAAGATAGTTGTTGCAATAAAAAATGATAGTGAAGTTTCACAAAATAGCACTTCATACATGCTTTTTCGCATAATTTATGATAATATCGCTTGCGAAATTGCATCAAACTGACATAATTATACTCCAAAACCTGTGGCTTTATTATTGATATAACCGCTGAATTATTAACTTTCTTATATATCAACAAAAAATCTGGTCCCATCAATTCGATAATAGAGAGGGACGACTGTAATAGAAACAGAACTTATTATTTGATACGAGCAAATTACGACTAAATGCTTGAGATATAACTTCGGTTAACAGCATCAAAGGATGGTCAAACATGCATTTGCAACAATTTCGTTGCTTCAAATTAATTCTTAATTTAGAGTATTTTAAACGAGTATTTATTTGTACATATTCTCTATAATTTTATAAATTTAAAAGGTAACGAAGGAAATTTATTAACATAAACTTTTTTGCAAAACTTGAAATACTTCATAATCATCAATATCAAAATAAATTTTTGAATCATCAGATTGCTCATATGAAAATTTTTGACAAAAGTTACCATATGGGAAAATAAATATAAATTACAGCCACCACCACCAAAAGTTGGTCCATATGCTTCATTGCAGTAAATATTACGATTTGCTTGTTTAACTTTACTTATAAATCCTTCGAATTCATTTGACCAAATTGAAATAAAAAGCTATTTTGTGTATCATGCCAACTTCCACCACTTGAATTCCATTCCAATGGATTATATCCACCAATTATTTTTTCTGAATTTTTAACCTTAATCGCAGCAACTGTCGGACCTACGTTATCACAAAGTCGATGAAAATCAGCTGCTGTTAATCCATCCCGACTGCCTCGTAACAATAATTTTAAGTCAAATGGTTGAGCTAATTTCGTATCTTACGACTTTATCCATCCACTTATCTTATTAATTTGATTTCGGGTAAGTATTGTGGAGGAATTTTAAATATGGCTTGAAGATCTTCGCTTCCCGGAACCAAATAATGATGTAATAAATTCTTGTATAGTTTTTCTGATAAGAGTTCCTTACTTTATTATAAAAGTCAACAGAATTTATTGAATGAAATGGATCAATGGTAAACATTGTTTAAGCGCAAATTTTAATTGTCTAAATTCATTCTGTGTCAATTTTTCCACAGGGCTCGTAAAATCAACAC